CACAGGAGGCAGAGGACAGAGCACAGGTAGCGGGAGGCATTTGGGGCAGAGGACACAAGTTCGGTGGAGCACTATCAGGATTGCTGTGGGGTGTTGCACAAGGCGGGGTGTGTGGAGTGGATGTTGGGTGAGTCCTGCTGGTCTGAGCATCCGTTACGCGTGCCCTGGTGTGCTGCCCGACCTGTGTGCCTCCGGGAGCTCTGCTGTCCCGCTGCTTGGTGTCCAGCTGAAGGCACTGCTGCAGGAGACCCTCGCTGACCCAAGTAAGAACTAGAACAAAGCTGCTAGCAGAAAAGTGAAGGGTTAGGAGCTAGCTTGTTTCTGTGCCTGGGCAAGGTGGTCTGCGAGCATAACTGGAACCAACAATGGACCGGACAGCTCTAAATTAACTCATTTTTGTCAGCAACATACTGGGGGCACCTACGGCTGAATTTTAGAAATCCAAGGAAAGACAGAAAGAAAGACCTTAAGAAAAAATTAAGTATTCTGTGGACATGGCTGCCCTAACGTGGTCCTGCTGTGGTAACTGGAAGGCAGACAAAGCTGCATGTCAGTGAATGTTCTGTTGCATGTCCAACTGGCCTTTGTATACAAGAATCTTACCTGAAGTTGCCCCAAACTTGCCTCCTTGGCACTCTCTTTTCCTTAGCCTTGCTACCAGCCTAGCATCCTTTACTGCTCACCCCACTGCCCTTCTCTGCAGCTCTTCTGACATCCAGTTCCTTCTCAAATGCAGTCCTTTCTGGAGGTGCTCAGTTCACAAAGCATTTGCTTTTAGTGACTGCCTTGTTCCCAGATTACCCATAAAATCAGTGATTGCAATTTTTTTTTCTTTTCTCCAAAACCTAAACATGTTCTTGGTAAAATTAATCTGTTCTTGGTGTTGCTCTAGCATTGTGCTACACCAAGGATTTGGACCTTTTGACCTGTGGATTGGCTGCAGGTAGCTTTGACAAGTTTCTTATCCGCCCCGGTGCTGCTCCCCAGTCAGACAAGATTGTTCATTTCAGGAGGATTCAAATCAGTGATGCATGGTCTTGGTTTCCTGCAGAAAAGGCTCTTACGGTGTAATGTGTACTTTGCCTGGGTGGGAGAGCCATGGTAGATGTGTTTTTCTTAGCGCTTGACACTCAAAGCTTGGTTATTCCTATGAGGGGCTTGCCGCTGAGGGCGTCCCTGAGCATTAACCCCAGTGCTCTCTCAAATATTTAGCCGTACCCAAGAGGTCTGACCAGAACACGGGGTGCTTATTGATGGCTATGTCAGCCAACTTACCCCCCGCATGCAGTGATTTCCAAGTTGAAACCCTGGGCTGTTACAGGCTGAACTAAGTTTTGGGGAATGGGGACTGTGACAGCTACTGGTTTCTGTGCAGTGGTCTTGAGAGGAGAGCTGTGCTGCACGTGGGGATCTTTTCTGTAACAGCATTCCCACTCAATCTGAATAAGGAGATATGCTCTAATGAAGAGAGTATCTTGCCTTGACTTTAATCCTCTCCAAAGTCCTTATTCAGCTGCTACCTTAGATAATGAAGTGAAGGTTACATTTTACAAATGACCTTCTTGTGCTTTTGAGTGAAAGGCGAGCAAGTAAGGATTAGCAGTCAGGTCTAGGTGATTTTTTTTTTTCCCCTCCAGTACTGGTTGCAGTCCCATAAAATCATAATTACATTACACCCTGTCCAGCTACATATTGAAAGTGTCCAGTGTAGCGGAGCCAACCACTCCTCTGGGGAGATTATTCCAATGGTTGACTGTTCTCATTGTGAAAAATTTTCCTCTCATGTCCAGTTGGCTTATCGTTAGCTTTTCATGTTTTCTGGTTACTGAAGTCAAGTTTAACCAGTTCACAGATCAGCTGCTCCAAGTCAAGTAAGACACCAGTGGATGGTAGAAGTATGGTGACCAAAGTAGGCTCCTTTGAGGGCTGCCCTGATACTCCAGAGACATGTTAGAGTGAGGAAGTTTGCCAGGGCAGGACGGGAGGGGCTGGGAAGCTGGAGGGAACTGATGGCAAGGCCCTTGGGACAGCACAGGAGGCAGAGGACAGAGCACAGGTAGCGGGAGGCATTTGGGGCAGAGGACACAAGTTCGGTGGAGCACTATCAGGATTGCTGTGGGGTGTTGCACAAGGCGGGGTGTGTGGAGTGGATGTTGGGTGAGTCCTGCTGGTCTGAGCATCCGTTACGCGTGCCCTGGTGTGCTGCCCGACCTGTGTGCCTCCGGGAGCTCTGCTGTCCCGCTGCTTGGTGTCCAGCTGAAGGCACTGCTGCAGGAGACCCTCGCTGACCCAAGTAAGAACTAGAACAAAGCTGCTAGCAGAAAAGTGAAGGGTTAGGAGCTAGCTTGTTTCTGTGCCTGGGCAAGGTGGTCTGCGAGCATAACTGGAACCAACAATGGACCGGACAGCTCTAAATTAACTCATTTTTGTCAGCAACATACTGGGGGCACCTACGGCTGAATTTTAGAAATCCAAGGAAAGACAGAAAGAAAGACCTTAAGAAAAAATTAAGTATTCTGTGGACATGGCTGCCCTAACGTGGTCCTGCTGTGGTAACTGGAAGGCAGACAAAGCTGCATGTCAGTGAATGTTCTGTTGCATGTCCAACTGGCCTTTGTATACAAGAATCTTACCTGAAGTTGCCCCAAACTTGCCTCCTTGGCACTCTCTTTTCCTTAGCCTTGCTACCAGCCTAGCATCCTTTACTGCTCACCCCACTGCCCTTCTCTGCAGCTCTTCTGACATCCAGTTCCTTCTCAAATGCAGTCCTTTCTGGAGGTGCTCAGTTCACAAAGCATTTGCTTTTAGTGACTGCCTTGTTCCCAGATTACCCATAAAATCAGTGATTGCAATTTTTTTTTCTTTTCTCCAAAACCTAAACATGTTCTTGGTAAAATTAATCTGTTCTTGGTGTTGCTCTAGCATTGTGCTACACCAAGGATTTGGACCTTTTGACCTGTGGATTGGCTGCAGGTAGCTTTGACAAGTTTCTTATCCGCCCCGGTGCTGCTCCCCAGTCAGACAAGATTGTTCATTTCAGGAGGATTCAAATCAGTGATGCATGGTCTTGGTTTCCTGCAGAAAAGGCTCTTACGGTGTAATGTGTACTTTGCCTGGGTGGGAGAGCCATGGTAGATGTGTTTTTCTTAGCGCTTGACACTCAAAGCTTGGTTATTCCTATGAGGGGCTTGCCGCTGAGGGCGTCCCTGAGCATTAACCCCAGTGCTCTCTCAAATATTTAGCCGTACCCAAGAGGTCTGACCAGAACACGGGGTGCTTATTGATGGCTATGTCAGCCAACTTACCCCCCGCATGCAGTGATTTCCAAGTTGAAACCCTGGGCTGTTACAGGCTGAACTAAGTTTTGGGGAATGGGGACTGTGACAGCTACTGGTTTCTGTGCAGTGGTCTTGAGAGGAGAGCTGTGCTGCACGTGGGGATCTTTTCTGTAACAGCATTCCCACTCAATCTGAATAAGGAGATATGCTCTAATGAAGAGAGTATCTTGCCTTGACTTTAATCCTCTCCAAAGTCCTTATTCAGCTGCTACCTTAGATAATGAAGTGAAGGTTACATTTTACAAATGACCTTCTTGTGCTTTTGAGTGAAAGGCGAGCAAGTAAGGATTAGCAGTCAGGTCTAGGTGATTTTTTTTTTTCCCCTCCAGTACTGGTTGCAGTCCCATAAAATCATAATTACATTAAAAGGTCCAGGCATTTTATGTGCATTGCCTGCTCCATGGCTCCTGAGGGGAGAATGCACCAAGAGGGAGAATAAAATAGCTCATATTTTCTAGCGATGCCAAATACTTGTTCCGACAAATTTCCCCACCGCCGCTGCTGTTAGTGGAGCCCGAGGCCCGAGCAGGGTGCGTGACGAGGTGCACCGTATCCAAACTTCAGTACAGATGATCGTTTCCTCCTGTCTGCCTTGCCAAGGTCATCACACTTCTTTCAAACTGCGGTTCTTGCTGTGGTAATTAAAGCGCTCCGTGAGTGCTTCGTAACGGCTCCCCGTCGCAACCTGGGAATTGCAGGCGGTTTGTCAGCTGGAACACAGTGTGTGCTGGCGGGAGAGGTACACCCAACTAAGGGCTCCGTTTAAAACACTTGCCATGACCTTTCCTCGTATTCTGGCTCAGCTAAGGGCCTCCTGGCCCGCCCTGTGTCTGCTCCCGCTTTCCCCAGCCTCGTCGGGAAGAGGATGATGGAAGTTGTTCTACAGGCAGGGTGTTTGGAGGTGCCAGCAGCAGTGCTCAGCCTGGCTGCGGCCGCAGACCGACGAGGTGAAGCCAGTGGGCATTTTACCTAGCGTGGATAAGCTTGGGGGTTCACTTTTGTGCGGATCTTGAATCGTTCTCTACTTACTGAGCTCCTTACAGATAGGCATAACTGAGCAGGTAAACAGTTTTTTCTCCGTTTCATGGAACTACTCTCTTGCTCGGGTGTAATTATTGAGTGCAGCAGCTGCCTCGGGTCTAGAAAAGTACATGCGATGCCTTCTGCGACAGGCGTTTCTGAACATGTGCACTTTATCTGGCAGAGTTAAATGGATCTGGACAAAGAGTGAAAACAATTATTTGTGAATATTTTATTAGAAAATATCAAAAATTCATCAAATAAATTATTCAGCTTCCATATGACTAGTCCTGCCAATGATAGGGAAGAGCCTTACACGCCGAAACCAGGGTGCTGAGGGGCAGGGGGGAGGCTTCGAGCGCTGCTGGCAGCAGGCGGAGTGATGCTTTGCAGCCTGGCTTAGTGAGCGCTTGCGTCCATCCTGGCTGGGGTCAGCGCCCCAGCCGTGCTGAGCCGGGGCAGGAAGAGCTGCCGTCCCCAGGGCTAAATTGGAGACAGACCCCAGCAGGGCTGCAGGAGAGGTATTTCAGTGCCCTGACCGAACCTGCTAACTCGCAGCCAAACTCAGGTCCGTGTCACGAACAAGTCTGACAGTTTCCTCCTTCATGGATGTCTCTTGGGTTTGGTTTTTTTTTGTTTTAGGTGAGAGTCTATGACCTCCTGCAGTACGAGCACGGGCCAGATGACGTTCTGATCCTGGCTACCGATGGACTCTGGGATGTGCTGTTAAATGAAGAAGTGGCAGAAGCTGTCACTAACTTTCTACCAAACTGTGACCCTGATGATCCCCACAGGTTTGTGCTCATCCTTGATTTTTTAGCTTCTCCGCATAAGAGCGCTTTCTGGTAACCTATTTTTGTAGCAAGTATGATACAAATAACATTCAGCAGATATGCAACACTAAATAAAAAGACATTTTT